AGAACTCTGCATCATTCTGCCTTGAGCTTTACCAACCTGTTTGGAGGGCTAAAAGCAGAAGAGCCTCCAGTCAGCTTCTGCTTGCCTGACAAGCATCTTACAGAGCCCAGACCAACTTTGATGTAAATGAGAGTAAACATAACTCTTCAGAGTAACAGCTTTTCCAAATGTTGAGGGTTTGTGGGCACCATGCTAAAGCCTCAGTACCCTATAAAGAAGTCTTTATTATCTCTGTTTTCTCTTGTGGATCATTGAGTGCAGCTTCTAATGATTTGCTGGTGGCAAGTGGGATGTTTGGGGTTGTTGGATTTTTCACCCCACTAACTGGGACCTCTGAGGACTCGAACCTCCAACTGAAAAGTGTCACTGATTCCTATATTCTTTACTCAACTGAAATAGCTATATTTCAAGCTGTTGTGTTTTACACAGTTTCAGGTAAGGTATCAAAGACTGTTCTTTAGCAGTCCCTTTAGCCTACTTTATTAACTGGTATCTACTTGTTGTATTTTAATATTTTTAACAAGGAGATGCATAATCGTCAGTAATGATACCTTTAATTCATGTAACATGCATAACCTCAGTGCTGTTGGGTCTGTTTGCAACTCCTTCTGGCAAATTATTTTTTTTAATTTAAAATAGTGTTTTCTAAATCCTAGGCTAGAGTTTAGTATTTTAAGAATTGATTATTTATTTTTTTACATATCCTGAACTTTGTAAGCATAATAAAAATACATTTTCCACATGGTCTACTAGAACTGTGCTAGTAAAAGTTCCTGAAATCAGAAACCTCAAACTGTGCGTCTTTGTTAATCTTCAGTAGGCCTTGAAAGAATCTCAGTTTGAACACAATTAATGCAGTATTTTAAAATATGGAAACTTAAAATCAGTGGTTTTGTACAGGCACATTACAAAATTAGAAACATCCCAGCCTCTTGCTCAGCGCAGAATCCACCCTGAAGTTAAGGAGGAAAATAACAGAAAACTCCTTAGGGGATTTTTTTTTTAAGGAGAACTGTTTTGGCCTACATATGTTTAAGACTGCATAAGCACCACAGCGATGTGGGGAATGCCAGGAGAATCTCTTCTACTACACAGACCTTCAATCTTGTTCTCTGCTTCAGGGGAATACTATTGAAAATGTGCAAAGATTACTGTCATCAATCCACTTCTGGACTTTGGTTTTCTCTCCAGATAAGAACTGGGAAACTCTTTAGCTTTAGGAAGGACATCAGAAGGGGGTAATAAAGCATCCAAATGTTAATGCATTCCTCAGCTCAGGTCAAATTGACTTTGGTGTAACCATGGTGATTTACATCCACAAAGATTCTGGCATTTGGATGTGCATTTGACTTTTAACAACTTCATGGTCTCTGCACCTTGAGACTGAAAGTGGAATAATGTAACAACCTCTGTCTTAGCTTTGTATCTTTCTAGATCAAAAGAGGAAGGGCATCATACTGGAAAGCAGTATCGCGAACTCAAACTCAGGATAGAGGACTTGTTTATGTTAAGGATTCTCTAAAATCTTTTTCTCAGCACACAAGAAGCAAAGGCCCTATAAAGTCATCAAGATACTCCCACTGGGAGCCTGTTGCTTTCAAGTTTCCACCACAAACAAGTAAACAAAGTGATGTAACAGTCAACTAGTATTGAACAGCTGGAACAGTTATCAGTGATTTTACTATAAAATCTGAACAGCATCCACACTAGTTAAATAGAAAGTAAGAAATGTGCAAAGAAGAGCCATCCCCATGTAGTGAGCATAAATTAATTTTCAATATGCGAATGATTAGCTGAACTTTTCACATAAATTTTACTTAGTTCCTTGTTCTGTAAGTCCTGTATTTCTGGTAGATATTTGTAATAGAAACAGCCACAGTCTAGAAACTTGGAGAAGTAAGGAGTAAGACAGGGTAGTACATGTGTATAAAGTATTCAGAGGTCTTGAACTCCTATACTTTGCACAGAATATCATCAGTCTATTACCTTTCTGTAAACACCATTCATAAGGGTCGAAGTCCAAAATATTACATTAGGCTCTCTGGACTGTCAGCATTTGCTTATATTTAACTGGTTACTAGTGTTGTAATTATAATGAATTCCAGACTATTCATGCTCATAACTTGCTTTCTGCATTTGGAATTAAATTCAACCAATTCGTTCTAAAGAATTAGCTAATGAATGTTGTGGTGGAAAGCGATGAAATCTATAGAATGTATTTCACAGACATTTCATGGCAGTTAGTGAGCTCATGAGTTTATCTTTGAGAGAACTGCCCCCAAATCAGCATCTGCCTCTTATTTCCTTCGTGTTTTGCTTTTTTTCGGGTTTTTTTTTTTATCTTTCACAGTCTAAATACAGTTTCAAAAGAGTAATCTTGAGACACTTTTCCTATTGTTATTAATGCCATTTACTTCCACATAATCATTGTCTTTCGCTCTCATTACTTTGTTTTCCCATGAATGGTCTGCAAGTTCTCTGAAAGCAAAAGACTTTCACTGAAAAAGCAATATTGGCACACAATGGATCAATTAGGAAGGCATGTGGCACAGCAGAGTGAACAGATCTTGACCGTTTTGTAATAGTGAAGAACATTCTGATAATTACAGGTTGATATTTCTTTTAAACATTTATCCAGCTGGAATATTTTTACTTAAAATTGGTTATTTTGCAGATCCCTTTTTACACATCTGAATATCTATCTAGAATCTATTTTTGTACATAGATGTATATTAAGAAGCATAGCTATGCCATAAATAACATACACTAACACATATGGGAAACACACCAAAGTCGTCTGCAAAAGGACAGCAGCAGGGACCTGACACAGGACTGCTCTGTGTGTGTTGTAACCAGCATACTGAGGGCACTGCTGAAATAAAATGCATTGCTATATGCCAGGTATTTTCCTAAAAATATCATCTATAACTGAGGCTAATTCTTGATATTTTTTTGGTACAGTATTTGTCAGATTAACAGTGTAGGAATTCCATTCTTGGCTAAATAATTGAGAAGTCCAAGGTGGGTAATCTGTCTGTTTATGAGCTCTTTATGAGAATTAACTTTGTATGAATATCATACTTTGTGTAGGCACTTTCAAGAGGCAGATTGGTTTTTCAATGTGTTGCAAATTCTGTTGCCTGTTCCCCCCAGGCTTAGGTTCTTTGTCAAGGAGAGAGGTGGAAGGATCTCTATTGCAACAGCATCACTTTAGAGAATGCTGACTTCCTGCAAAATTGGCTTATCTGGGGAGAAACTGTCCATCTGGGATTGGATTTGGTCTCAAGATAGAGGAGTCTGTCAACATTTGGGAAAGCAGAAGCTGTTTACTAAAATAGCAAGGGGGGGGGGGGGGGCAAGGACTTCTTCACTTGAATCAAATAAGGAGAATTTACTGAAGGAATTGAACAAGGCAGAGGAAAGAGAAGGGGAAGGAAATAAAATGTCTTTTGAACATAGTTCCCTGAGGACTCTCCAAGATGGAGTGAATCGAAGTGTGGGTCACTGTGATAGTCAGTGTAGTTTCCTTACTGGAGCTTACCTGTTCTAAAAAACAAGTCTTATACTTGAATCATGGGAAAGATGTTGGTATTTCTGTGTGCATGGCGTTGTTTGGTTTTTGTTTTCAAAAGGCGAGCATAGATCCAGAAGCCCTGAATTTTGAGAGTATGCTGTAACTACTGCAGTATCTCTTGTGTCAGCAACAGTGTGTGATTTTTGGGACAATTGGATGGCAGGGCTCCAGATCCACAAGCTGGTACAGAAACAATGCTCTGAAAAAGTGCCAGAGAGACAATATAAAGCAGGAGTGCTGCAGTATATTTGGTACAGGCCAGCTTAAAGCAGAGGAGTGTGACACCCAAGGCTTCTGCACTAAATTAATTGGACTAGAGCTTCTGTTTCTGTGGAAATAAGTTCAAGAATAAAATGTGAGTTACACAATTATTACAGATAGGCAGGCATTAAAGACATCTCTGGTGCCTTCTAACATCTTGGCCAGGATGGCAGACTTCAAGTTATTTATGGGCAGCCAGAGCCTAATGCTTTTAATTTTCTAGATAGCTCAGGAGGCCAGTCAGATTGGCAATACTAGCAGAATGCATTAGGAAGCCCCAACTCCTACTGCCACAGATGAATAAAAGAAGGGGAAGTTTCACAGTGTTGGTAGACCTGGCTGTTCTATTCATGACTGAGAATGTGTCTCTTCTCACTCTCAGGGAGAAATCTTCTTTGGTTTACAGTGTGCTGTTACATTTTATTTTTTAATGTCAAACTCATTTAAATGGATTTGTCCTTGATTCTTTATACATACTACTGCCCATGCTGAATTCATTTTCTAATCATATGGAGGCCATATATATTCTTTACACATAGACTGTACTCCACTGCAGAATTTATTATCCTATCCTTTAAATATACTGCTGTTACATGCTCAAAATCCAGCATGTCTATATGCTGTAGATATGTTTACCACTACCAAATTATAAGGCAGTAGAAAAATTGTATTTATCCACAATGCAATCATTCTGCTTTCTGGGGTTTTTATTATACAGAAGGGATACCATCACGGTCTATGAGTTTGACCACTGCCTTTAAAATAGTAGTGCCCAAATGATGGTTCCCAGGCTGCATATTGCCTCTGATACTGGTCACAGTTACAAGGAAATTAAAACATTAAAAATGGGGCCAGGAGGTAGAGAAGTGTGTGATGCTGCTCTGTCATGTTTCCTGCTCAATACTGTTGCCCACTGGCCAAAGGAGGTGAGAGAGCCATTCTTAAACATGTCTGAAGAGCAATAGCTACCAGTCTCCTGTTTCAGCAGGTCTAATAGTATGACTTTGTTAGTTTTTGACATACGCACTTCAAAATATTTCCAGAGAAAACTGATGCATGCATAGGAATATTTTCTGTTAGGTATGCACATGGGTGTCCATGCATAAGGAGGGTCTGAACATTTCTCCCCACCACAACCTAATGCCTCTCTCCTCTCTTTCTCTAGGTACCAGATACACACCGGCCTTCAGCACTCCATTATACGGCCAAGCCAGCCCAACTGCTTACCTTTGGATAACATCACACTACCTCAGAAGCTGAAGGAGGTTGGTTATTCAACACACATGGTTGGCAAATGGCACTTGGGATTTTATCGCAGAGAATGCATGCCCACGCAGAGAGGATTTGACACTTTCTTTGGCTCCCTGTTAGGCAGCGGCGACTATTACACCCACTTCAAATGTGACAGCCCTGGAATATGTGGCTATGACCTGTACGAGAATGACAATGCAGCTTGGGATCACGACAGTGGCATCTACTCCACGCAGATGTACACACAGAAAGTACAACAAATCTTGGCTTCTCATAACCCCAGGAAACCTATATTCCTCTATATTGCTTACCAAGCTGTTCATTCACCTTTGCAGGCACCAGGCAAGTATTTTGAACATTATCGATCGATAAATAACATCAATAGGCGAAGATATGCTGCAATGCTGGCTTGTTTGGATGAAGCCATAAACAATGTAACCCTTGCGTTAAAACAGTATGGCTACTATAAGAATAGCATTATCATATATTCTTCAGATAATGGTGGGCAGCCAATGGCTGGAGGAAGCAACTGGCCTCTCCGAGGAAGCAAAGGGACCTATTGGGAAGGAGGGATCCGTGCTGTTGGGTTTGTCCATAGTCCCCTTCTGAAAAACAAAGGGTCTGTGTGTAAGGAGCTTGTGCACATCACAGACTGGTTCCCCACTTTGATCACCCTGGCAGAAGGTCAGATCGATGAAGATATCCAGCTGGATGGTTATGATATATGGGAAACCATTAGTGAAGGCAGACGTTCGCCACGGGTAGACATCCTGCACAACATTGACCCAATTTACACCAAAGCCAAAAATGGGTCCTGGGCAGCTGGCTATGGGATCTGGAACACTGCAATTCAGTCTGCCATCAGAGTGAATCATTGGAAACTACTGACAGGAAATCCAGGATACAGTGACTGGGTACCCCCCCAGGCCTTCAGTAATGCAGGCCCTAACCGCTGGCACAATGAACGCGTTTCTTGGTCAGCTGGCAAAACAGTGTGGCTCTTCAACATCACTGCTGATCCCTATGAACGAGTGGATCTCTCCACAAGGTATCCAGATGTAGTGAAGCAGCTGCTACGGAGGCTTTCACAGTTCAATAAGACGGCAGTTCCCGTTCGATACCCACCGAAGGACCCTCGGAGTAACCCGAAGCTGAATGGAGGAGTCTGGGGTCCGTGGTTTAAAGAGGATGAGAAGAAGAAGAAAGCTGATAAAAATAAAGGTGTGAATAAGCAAAAGAAGAACAAGAAAAAAACAAATCAGAAAAAAGGACAGTCATTACATTGCCATTCACATCTTGCTGGTGGATAAACTCTAAGCACGCTCTTTTGCCAAGTCCAAGTCAGCTTAGCCAAACTTCTTGAGGTTCATACAGAATATACTAGAAATGCTAGCTCTGGACTGTGGATGAAGGTTGTCATCTTTAATTTTGTTCTCTGATTTCACCAGCACAGGATATGTCAAAGCTTCGCCTTGAGTGTACGTAAGCATCTACATGACAAACTTTCTCCTATACAGGATGAATGGTGCTTGCCCATCACTGCTGAATTCTAGATAACAACGGCAGTAATATCTCATTTCTGTAAACTAATTTTTGATGGACAAATGGCGGTTTCTTGCCTAACTTAGTTGGAATATTTGGAGAGTATGGAGATGTTAGTGGCAGATGTTCTCAAATTTACAAAGTGATTCATAGAGAGAAAGGGAAAACAAAACTTGAGAAACTCTGTGGGTCAGAAAGTGTTAGTCACCAAGCCATGACCTTCTTTGATGCAGCAGCAAAAACCTGAAGCCACCAGAGTAACCTCTTGGAGGTGCTGGGCAGGGGGCCATGGCCATGATGGTGGGAGGAAAGCTGCTGTGAATTAGACTTTGTCTGTCTTACATAAATCAGAAATATTTTTTAAATGTCCTAGATGTGCTAAGCTCCCCCATTTGTAATAGAACAAGAAGGTTGTTATTCAACACACATGAAGAGCTAGCACATGCCAGATATAATTTATTATAGGCATAGAGAAAAACATATCACCAAAGTGAATGTAATATTTTAACACTTTAAGATAACTATACAGCAATATGTAAAAGACATAATTTATTTTACAGCACAGTACTTACTTCTCCTCCATTAAAACTTTAATTACAGGCTGACGCAAGGTACCCCTTTGGGTGCTAGGGTTGTTTGGGTTTTTTTCCTTTGATTTTTAATTTTATTTCCACTCTATTATTCAGAGATTTTATTTAACGAATCCATATCCTCAGAGTACTGTAAAAGAAAATACTGTATACACTGCTAGGAAGAGAAAGGAGAATGATTCAGGTGCATCATTTCATTATGTATTAACCTCCAATTACTTTGAATGTAACAGAATGATTATTTAATTTAGTAGTCACATGAATATTGTTCAGTTTCTGTACAGAAGCTAGGTCATCTTCATGTTTGGGGGGAAATTCTACTTTAAACCTTTTATTTATGTATGTATTAAAATGGTTTAATTTTTATGGCATTCATAAAAGTAACCTGCCTTTTTTTTTTTTTGCATTAAATACAGCAATTCTGTTCTTGTTTATTTTAAATACTCATATTTTAAAAAACTTATTTTTAAATTTCAGCTTTTTATTACTATTATTTTTGGTTCAGGGATGATATTTTATACCATTTCATTTCTGAAACAGAATTTCTTCTTGCAATATGTACATCATTTGAGACACAGTTCAAACTTTGCCCTTTTCCAAGGCGTCTGCATGGATGATTAACGGCTATACTGACTGCATATTCTTGGTGGTCTTGGCGATAATTGATACAATGCATACATACATATAAGTTTCAAGATAAATTATGTTAAGTAAAATTGATGATTCATTTGTTCAACAGCTGTAACATTTTGGTAAAATTTAAAATAAGGCTGCTTTTCAACTACCTCTCACTTGACTCAGAAGTCACATTTATATAAATGGATTAGAGTTGGAAAATTAAACATCCATAAAATTAGTGCACGCTAAAATATGAATCATATCAAATGCTCCAAAATTGCATGACCTTTTTTAAAAAGAAACTAACTGCAGACATATACTGCCAAACCCTAGTAATTTTCATATTTGCAGCTCTGAAACAGAATAAACCTGTTATTAACAAAAACTTACAAACAACACTTGTCATATTTTAGAATTATGTTTTGTAGTGAATATACTGGAGAGAGCACAGAAATGGAATCCTGGAAGTTACCTATAAATTGTAATTATAAAAAGATGATGTGTATCTGCATAAGTATTTAATATTCACTGTTATTTTTCATACTGTATGGTCCTTAGGAGGAGTAATTAATTTTCTTAGAAATCTGTCTAGCTTTAAGATTCAGACTATTCAGTGAGTGATCAGAAACTCAAATGTTCTCTGATTTCTCACTTTCTTTTTTTTTTAATGTACACTTGATGTCCTTAAAGGAAATATGAATAACTATAGTCCAAAATGTGATATATAAAATTCAGGTCTTTGAGAAAATACATCTGTTTTGTCTTGGAGGAAAAGTGAGACTTTTTAAGTTAGCCTGGTTCAGCTACCAATACACAGGTATACATACGAATGGGACAAAGATAGAAATTATGAGTTCGTGTACCTTTCTAGTTTAGGAAAGAATCTGCATTTTCTTACTAAACATTAGGAGAGAAATGAAGGAAGTAAGAACTGGTTTTGAAACATTATACTGTCTAGTTTACAACTTAATACATAAATCATTGTATTTGTGTTTAAAATACATCTGTGTTTCACACTGAGCATTCATTTTCCGTTTCAGCACTAGAAAGAAATAGTAAGCTTTCTGACTTTTCAAGGTAATTTTAAAAAACACCAAAATCAGAAGTGTAAGCTGAACTGGACATGAAGAAGGACTAAGATATTTTAATTTATTTTGTCATAGTAGAAACAAGGTGCTGTGATAAAGTGTTATCCTCATAAGAGTCAATGATCACCCTTTTCCGTGAAAGTTTTATGGTTGCTTTGGCTCTTATTGGACAAAAGCAACCAGACAGCATTATTCTGTGACAACATTTTATTCTGTAATAATTTGCATCTGTCCCCTCTCTGGAGAGATGGGGAGGCCTTGAAAGCTATTGGTTCAGAGCAGAACAGTGGATCAGTTCCATCATGCCTGTATATTAAGTAAATGTGCCACGAGAGTGTTTGCAGCTTACACAATGGGAGTAAGTTTTGTAAGGCTGCAGTGGCTCTTAGGCTGATTCCTTTGAAACTGACACTTGATCTGGTATGGGACAAAAGTTGGATTTAGAGGGAGTTAGAAAATAGTTATCATTTGGAAGCCTTTACAAATGTTTTGCTGAAAACAAAATCCTGATGATTTTGATGATCCTGATGTGAAAGAACCATGTTGCAATTTTCCTGTCTACTTTCAGGCAAAACTTCTTTTTTTCACTCCAATAACACAAAGGTCTATAGATTTTGGAAATACCATGTTGTGAGGTGTTCACACTCTCACAGCAGGATTTCACAGGTTAGTTATGTCTCAGAATGTGTTACATGCTTGGTCTCATGGAAGGTAAGAGAGGTAAACACAGCAAACAGTTCAAAACTGGCTATCAGACATACTGAAACACAGTCCTAAACTATGAAGGAGAACCAACTGTCCTCCTAATCGCTAGGCAGACATAGCACGGGAGTTACCACTTTACTCAGGCAGATATATGTGTGCAAAGTCATGCTTGAATACCAGTTGATATTTGGTGTAAGTCATTAACTGGTCTCTCTATCCGTGTTTTCTAAGACATCTAGAAAAAGAGTGGGTGGGGGGAGAGAGAGCAAGGGGAGATTTACTTGCTATTTTTAAGTTGTCTCAAGCCTTCTATTACTCTGCATGCTATATGGGTACTAGAAAAAGGCAGGTCTGATTGTAACTCTGATCTGGTCTTGGTGACATACATGCCTTTGGGAGGACCAGCCTGAGGAGGTTTATCTTCTTTTTCCATGTACCATAGATAGCTGTGATCCTGGATCATCATTTGTACGTCAAGGAAGCCTGAAGAGTGAGAAGGATAACTGCAGGGAAGAGAGGAAGAAAGAAATAAAAAGGGAAAACCAGAAGCAAGAATGTCTTGCCTTGTGATCTGTGGTCCCTGAACATAGTATACCATGCTGAATTGCTTTTTAAAATCGTGTAAGTGTGAAAAAATGTTATCATGTTAACTTCTGATTACTGTTGTGGTGGTGGTGGTGTAAAAGTATAAAGTTGGAGACAAACCACTATCCTTGCTACAGATAAAGACCAGTGGAAGGATGTGCCAAGGATGGTAAGTAAATCTAAAATGACCGTCTGTGTGGAGGTCATGTTGTAAGATGTGAAGTTCTGTCATGAAGCATGAGTTCTCACAACTAAATGAGGTCATTAGTGTCTGAAGACATCCAAAAGTTTTCTGCATCTGCTGGGACACGAGGCTTTCTCGAAAGTGAATCACACCATTAAAGCCTGCAAGTTTCTCTTTCTCCCTGGACGAAATGGGTGCTGATGGGATTTCAAGCTGATGAAAGTGCCCTCGTGTTTCCATCCATGCAGGATTGTACATAGTGGGCTATCTGAGGTATCATCTAAACAGCACTGAAATTTAGGAGTTTGTGATCACAATGCATAAACTGCTTTTTCTTTCTCTATGTTTCAGGCACTGCATGTTCAGCAGCCACCACTCATGCATTAACACAGCCATACACGCTTTAAAAGCTGCCTTTTATAAAGAGCATTAGCTTTCTAGCACAGAAAGAGACACAGCACCCAAAGTTAGAACATACAAGGTCAGATACTGGGCTGCAGCATTTGGGGAATAAAGTAGGAATGGAGTTGCTGTTAAAATTTCTTTCAGTTGAGGGAGCTTCAAATTTAGCTGATGGCAAAGAGTAAGAGCAATTTCCACAAAAGAAATGAGGATGTTTGTTCTCCTTAAACTACAAGGCGATACTGAATTCCTCTGAGTGGCATTATTCAGTGCAAATGGGGGTGCTGGATCAGGTTCTACTTAAAAAGTTGCTCAGAAAATTGCTGAAGAAAGAAAAAGAAAGGAGGAAAATAACATATGTTTTACAGGATATCCCTCTCCCCCCCATAGAGATCTATGAACAAAGGATTGTACCTTTTCTGGCTGTTATTTTCCATTGTACACCAGTCCTGGGAAGGAAAAATACTTGGTAGTTTTCAGTATGTAACATTTACAGACTAACTACAGGTTCCTTTTGTCATCATGTTTTAAACCCAGTGAACACTCCTTGTCAGTCTGCAAGCAAAGCAATTAAAATCTAGTTTACTTCATACTACACATACTATAAATTATGTTTAGCTCAGACAAAAATGCTGGAATACACAATATACCTGCTGACTACTGGCTTAGGAATCTCAATTTTTATATATTTTTTTTCCATTTCTAGGAGCAGGCAGAGAATGCACGGAGGGAAAAAAGAGTGTAAGATTTAATTAACATTTATATAACACAAGCTTCGCTTCAGCATCCCATTCCTCTTCAGCAGAGTACTTAATAACATACTTAAATTCATTTTTTGGGACCCATGTCAAAGTCTTGATGAAGTAGAGGGGTTTTGTAAAAGACCAGTGAGTGTGAAAATACAAAAATATTCTCTTTCCCTGAAAAAGAATTGTTTTCACCCCTGCCAAGCAGGTTAGTAATAATAGATAGAAATACAGTTTAACAGCATAAAAGAAAATCCAATTAAGTGTCTGGATTTGAGTTAATGTTGCAACAAAGGCATATTCCATGATATGGTTAAAAGTTATTTCATGAATTCCATTCATTTCAATTACAATCAGGGCAATGCTTCTAAAGTTTACCTTGTGATTGAAGTAATAAAACTGATTAATTAGTATTATTGTGAATTTCCATAACGAGTGGAGAACAGGGTCCTGAAATGTCAGACCAGTGTAGCCTGAAAAATGCATTTTTAAATTCCTTGTAAACATCAGACTTTCAGTAAAAGTCAAGTATTTAATCATCTAAAAGGCTGTGATGTTTGTTGTCATTCCTTCGATTTGCTTTAAAAGATCATTTTGGAGAATCACTGGCAAGGGCATGTTTATTCTTCTTTAAATGTGGCTTTGCTTCTGGATTAGCAGCCCAGAGCCACATGCAGGACAAAATCAAGAGGGCTCTAGAAGTACTAATGGCTCTTTATTATAAGAATATAGAGCACAGATTGGGAAAAGATGTCACTATTATCAGAATCCAGTATATCTGGAGAGATGGTCCTGTGTGAGTACCAAGCTGTGACTGGTATTGTACAGGGAATGGAGGAACTGCAAGTTGGTTAAAAGGAACATTTTGGGAGAGTGAACTGAATGTTATTAAAGAAATATTTCAGCTATTATCATCTGGTTTTCTTCTTAACAACACCAAACCAAAACAACAACAAAAAAGCCCTCAAAAGCCCCAAACCAAAACAAAAAACCCACACAAGCACCCCCCCAAAAAACAAACCAGAACAAAACAAAAAAAACCATCAAACCAAACAAACACCCCCCCCCCCAAAAAAAAGCCCCCCCCCAAAAAAACCAAAACCCAAACAAAAATTTGAATATTGGCAAAACTTTAAAGCTAAGAATGTAACTAGTGAAGTCATACATTTGGGCAACCCTTTTAACTCTGACAGCATACCTTTCTTACAGTGATTGGTTTCAGTTTTGTTTGGGCTTTCATTAGCAGATTTCATTACATTTCATCACTCCGGATGAAGTGAATATACTTAGTGCTGATTAAAGAGTATATTGGAGGTTTTTGGTCAATGTCATTTATTGTTACAAAATTGTTCAGGCTCTCAAGCAATTGCTAAGCAATTTCTTAGCAACACCTATTTCTAATATACTTAAATAATTGATCTGTTATTACTACGTAGCTATGGAGGATTTGGTAATTAATCATCTCCATTCTGCTTGGGCAACAGAAGAAAGTATCTGCAGCTAACAAACATTAACCTCCATGAAGAAGAATTTGCAGGGGTGCAGAGGGAGTGCACAGGCCTGGCGTTCAGTGCCAGTGAGCAACTCACAACCTCTGAGGTTTTTACTGCCACTTGATTTTGTTTCCTTCTCTTTGAAAGGAAGAAGGCTAAATGATTAATTTTGCTTTTGACATCATATGTGAAAGTCTGCTTAAAAGCACCCCTGCATAGAATGGCAACACAAGAAGGACAAGAAGTGCCTGGTGTGCGTCAGGAGGAACACTTTGTGCTGCTTCCATCCCACTGCACTCCTCAGCCTCCCACAGCCCCAGCTACAAGTCATTAACAGGGAAAGTCATTAAACTTGTTAGCATGTGAGTATCCCCAGATAACAAGCAAGTTGAGATGAAAAGGTGTCCTTCCTGTTTCCTGTTGTTTCTTTCCAATCACTTTCTTACTTCCATGTACTTACTAAACTTGTGGGATCATTATATTAAAATCAGTGAAAGATTTTCTCTATTACAGATTCAGCATGCTGAGATCTCACTGACATACGTTTCCTTCTCATCCATGCCAGCAAAGACCATCATGAGGGCTTGTACTAGAAGAAAGCCTTTGAAATGCAGCTAAAATCATGTCTTTCTCGTATTA